TTAGTAGAGACGGGGTTTCACCATGTTGACCAGGATGGTCTCGATCTCTTGACCTCGTGATCCACCCGCCTCGGCCTCCCAAAGTGCTGGGATTACAGGCGTGAGCCACCGCGCGCGGCCTCATCTTGAATTTTAACTGTCACAATTCCCACGTGTTGTGGGAAGAACCTAGTGGGTGGCGACTGAATTATGGGGGTAGGTTTTTCCTGTGCTGTTCTTGTGATAGTGAATCATGAGATCTGATGGTTGAAAAATGGAGTTTCCCGGCACAAGCTCTCGTTTTGCCTGCTGCCATCCGTGTAAGACATGCCTTGTCCTTCCTTGCCTTCCTCCATGATTGTGAGGCCTCTGCAGCCGTCTGGAACTGTAAGTCCATAAAACCACTTTCTTTTGTAAATTGCCCAGTCTTGGGTGTGTCTTTGTCAGCAGCATGAAAATGAACTAATACAGTAAATTGGTACCAGTAGAGTGTGATGCTGCTGAAAAGATACCCGAAAATGTGGGAGTGACTTTGGAACTGGGTAACAGGAAGAGATGGAACAGTTTGGAGGGCTCAGAAAAAGACAGAAAAATATGGGAAAGTTTGGAACTCCCTAGAGACTTGTTGTTAATGATATGGACAATGACATCCAGGCTGAGGTGGTCTCAGATAGAGACGAGGAACTTTTCGGGAACGGGAGCAAAGGTGACTCTTGTTACATTTTAGCAAAGAGACTAGTGGCATTTTGTCCCTGCCCTAGAGATCTGTGGAACTTTGAACTTGAGAGAGATAATTTAGGGTATCTGGTGGAAGAAATTTCTAAGCAACAAAGCAAAGGTGACTTGGGTGCTGTTAAAGGCATTCAGTTTTAGAAGGGAAACAGTGCATAAAAGTTTGGAAAATTTGCAGCCTGTCAATGGAATAGAAAAGAAAATCCTATTTTCTGAAGAGAAATTGAAGCCAGCTGCAGAAATTTGCATAAATAACGAGGAGCCAAATGTTAATCACCAAGACAATGGGGAAAATGTCTCCAGGGCATGTCAGAGACCTTGGCAGACCCTCCTGTCACAGGCCCAGAGGTTTAGGAGGAAAA